AGAGCATATTATTATTTGTTTGTGTGATGCAAACTGAGAGACTGATTTGAGAAATTGTTTGAAATACTCTGCACTCCCATGATGATATTAAGGTAAAAAAGACAATAAATTATCAAATTAATTAATTAATTAACTAACATAACTATAGAATCAATAACTAAAACAAAATTTATTATCTAAATTCATCAATTAGTTAATTCATAAGTTTTCTAAATTTAAATCTACATTCCATAATAATTTCCATTTCATCCAATAACCAATCATTTTATCAAAAACTCTTTAAATCGATTAAATCAATTAATTGAAATAATTAAAATAATTAAGAATAAGAATTAATAAATTTAAATATATTCAAATAAATAAAGTCAATAAAATCATATTATTCCATAACAACATCTCACACACACATATCTTTCCATATACTATACAGGATATCACCTTGAAAGTGAAGTAATATATCACACATTCCTAACAATAAGAAATATTAAATTAATCTCAATTAAATAAATATATATAATTATCATATAATTGAACAAATTTCACAATTCTATTTTATCAATTGATAGTCTCCTTTATTAAATTTGTTGTTAAGAAAATTATCTTTGATATTATTCTCATCATTCCCAACAATAATCCTAATTAAATTACAATTAATACAAAATTGATTAAAAAAAGAATTCAATATCAAAATTAAATCCGTAAAATTTTACATCTTAAATACATTTCTATCATATTTCAAATGAAGAGATTCTTTATCTTCCGATGATGGTGAAGATCGTTCATCAGACAAATCAGATTTGATTGAATTGACTTGATGTTATATTCATTTAATCAATTCATTACATCGATTAATTGTAAAATATATACATTTTAGAAATATTAATATAATTATACTCTAATATATATCCTAATATACTTAAATTAGCATCATCATCATTAAATACAATATATAAGGGTTAAATGCAATGCTTACCCTCAAAATTGATTTCTAAGATTATGATCCTCAACGGTTAACTATCATGGCATTGTGACATAAGACGACACATATGACGAAATGCAATTACTAAATCTAGACGTTACATAAATGCTAAATTTCGGTCATGTTGATTGACAAATATAATTAAGGAATTGTACTACCTTTTATATCATTTTTAAAAAAAATCTTACTCTGATGTAAATAATAAATATTAATTTATTGATACACAAATTTATTTTTTTTTTTAATTAAAAAAAAAAAAATACTACATGCTATAAGTGAACAGGAAATGTCTTATATTTGCCAAGAATGCAATCGGGTCGGTGGTGCAAAACGTGCTACTCGATAATTTTTAAAAATAATTTTAAAAATAATTTTAAAAAAAAAAATTTTGATAAATGGACAAGCGAAATTATACAATCGATAAACTTATTCAAGATAATCAACTAAATGCTGATGTTGGCAGTATAATAGGATGGATAACTTATGATAGATTTCAAGACATTAAACAAATAGCAAAAGGTGGTCATGGTACTATTTATTATGCTAAGTGGATTGATGGAAATATTTATGATTGGGATATCAGATATAACAATGGAAAAGATATGGTCAACGTGAAGTGGCGTTAAAAAAGTTTGATGGAATTGTAGATATAAATGAGGTAAATTAATATTTTTAATTTATTTGAAAATATATAATATATTAATTATAATTTAAAAAAATTTTATTTAGATGGAAATTTATTGAGAACAAATGGTGGACCTATCTTTACGGAATTACAAAAGATCCAGAAACTCACGAATATATGACGGTTTTAGCATATTATGAAGGTGGAAGTCTTAGACATTATTTAAATAAAAATTTTAATAATAACGATTGGAGAAATAAATTAGGACATTTAAAAGAATTAGTTGAATCTTTTCAAAAATTCATAAATTAGATATAGTTCATTGTGATTTTCATCCCGGAAATATTTTAAAAAGTAGTTTGGAAACCCATTTTATTTATATATCAGATTTTGGATTGAGTAAATTAATTACAGCAAATATAAAAAATCTTCAAAAGAATACCATTTCTGGAGTATTACCCTATATAGCTCCTGAATTATTAAGTGGGGGAGAATATACAAAAGCTGCCGATGTTTATTCATTTGCATTTGTTGCTTATGAAATCATCACTGGAATTCCTCCATATCACGATGTGTCCCATAATAAAGATTTGGCTTTTAATATATGTAATGGATTTCGGCCAAAAATTCCATTTCACATACCTAAATTAATTACACAAATTAATTATGCGGTGTTGGGATGCCCGAATTACACATCGACCCACTTTTGATGAATTATGTCGAGAGTTGGATAAATACTGGAATGATTATTTTTATTATAATTATAATAATAAAATTTCAATTCAAATTAAAGAAGCTAAAGAGTTTTCCGAAAATCAAACAACAACTACAATTCCAACAAATTATACATCCGCAAGCAATTTATACCAGTAAACTTCTCAATTTTTCAAATCTTCCAAAACCTAAGAATGATGAAAAAAAACTTGAAGAATTAACAAAATCATTTTACCAATAAATCCTAGTAAGTATCAATTATAATTTATTTATTTATTTTTATTTTTTAATTAGGTGACGATGATAATGATGATGATGATAATGATGATGATGATGATGATGACGGCAATGATGATGGTGATGATGGATACAAATTTTATTTAAAATTATCAATCATATATTTTTTATTTGTATTATGGATAATTATAAGACATTAGTTATTAATTTTTTGATATTATAAAATCTTAACACTAAGTATAAAGTTTGTAATTATGATTTTTTTATCAAATAAAATATTGCAATTTTTTTATATATTACAAATGATGAGTGCTAGCCATTAAGGTTTGTAAATTGTGATTTGTAATTATATTTTATTATATTTTTATTATATTTATTTTATTATATTTTATCATATTTTCTTTAGTTATTTAATTCCAATGTGGCTGATGAATTATATGATGCTATAATGGACGCAATTCCTCCAGCTCAAAATTAATCACATCCTAGAGTACCTTTTTCTATTTTCTTTGATATTATTTTTATAAGGATTTTTTTTTTGTTTTTATAATTTTTTTTTTTATTATGATATTTTTTTATTATTATTATATTTTATTTTACTTTTAACTATTATATCTATCTTTTTTTAAGAATAAATAACGGAATTTGAATATAAAAGCCAAAAAGATCTATTGTAATTTATAACTTTTAAAATTTATTTTCAATAATCGATAAAAATGAAATTGTATCTCGTTCATTCGTTCATTACAGCATGCACATAATTTTGCTGGCTATAATAATATAAAAAAGAATGATAAAAAAAAAGGAAAAGTAAATGATATTGAATGTTGAATAATTATTAATTATTTAAATTATTTTATTTTTTAATTATTAATTAAATGATTTTTTTTAAATCCTTCGTACTTCGTTTAAAAATTAGGTAGATCAAAAAAAATAAAATAAAGGAATAAGAAAATTACGAGTACACAAGATTTTATATTTAATTTGTAAACATGAAAAAATGAACACACACACCAACAACAATTAAAGTTTATGGTTGTCTTCATACTTCGTTTAATTTGGTAGATCGAAAAAAATAAAGAAAAAAATTATAATAGTTATGAAAAAAATATATATGTATATTTTTTTTTACTATTTTTATTTATTTTATTAATAAGAAAAATATTCAAAAATTATATAAATGCCAGCTATCCTCTGGGTGGGCGGTGTGTTCTCGAGATACGTATTCGATTAAATATTAAATTCTCGACCTTTTTTTTCCATCTAGGGTCACGAAAATCTTCCCAAAAAAGAGTATTGTTGTTTTGAAAATCTTTTGATAATCTACATACGCTACATACGTAACACGCGATGATAAAAAAAAAATAACTTCTCACCAAAATAATAATAATAAATACTTCACACCAAAATGATGGTTCTAACGAAATATGTGGAGAATGCGATCAAGAAAATGAATGGGATTGGTGCAACCCATGTTATTCAAAACATTTCGAAACCAATTTTAATAAACAGACAAGTGGAAATAGCATGATCAATAAGTTTTATTCGTGATGCTCAATTAAATGCAGTTAGTAATTGGGAAGTAATAGAATGGATACCTTATAATGAATTTCAAGATATTAAAGAAATAGGAGAAGGAGAATTTACAACTATATATTCAGTTACTTGGATTAATGGATGGATTAATTGTTAATTGGGATATAAAAAGATTCAACTTGATGTGGTATTTAAGAAGGTTTGATAAAATTAAAAATTTAAATGAAGATTTTTTAAATGAGGTAAAGTATTTTATTTTTTTTTTTTTTTTCAACAAATAAATTACAAGGAAAATTAAAAATTAAAATAAAAATAATTAATTAATGTAACGATATAAAAAAAATTATTTATTTTAAAAATTACCAAAATAAATTAATAAAAAATTAAATAAAATTAAAAAAAAAATTAAATAAGATTAATAAAATAAAAATCTTAATAAAGAATAAAAAAAAATTAGTTATTTTTAAAATTACCAAAATGATAAAATAAATAAATAAAAAATTAAATAAAATTTTAAAAAAAAAAAAAAAAATTATTTACAAAGAATTTTCCCAAGTTGGCAGATTTTCCAGATCTTCCCAAGTATTTTGCAAACCAGCACTACTTCCCCAACCTTCCGAATCTCCAAAACATTGAAATAAACAATCATTCGGATCAACTGGGTCAATAAAATCAACTAATTCTTTGGCGCTCTCTTCTAATAATTGTAAATTTTCTTTTGCTCCCAACCCAAATTCCGAAAAATCCGAATTGGTCCAATTTGTTCTGTAAGTGTATCCGATAGATTTTAAACTACCTTTTTCTAAAACGTAATTAATTAAAACTTTAATATGTTCTTCAAGAACGTAACCATAATTCATAATAATTCTTTGAATAAGAGCTTTACAATTTTCTAAAAATAATTGTAAAGATTCAGCAGAAGTATTCATATCAAAATCCAATAATTGTAAAGATGAAGGGATGAGATTAGAAAAGATGGGTAAAATTTCCGAAACGTCAATACAAGCTGATGTACGAATTACTAAAGTTTTAAGTTTCGTAAAATTGGCGATACAAGAAAGTAATAAAGAAATTTCATCTAAATTATTTAAAAAAATTTTGAGAAAAGAAATATTTGGACAATTATTTGCTAACATTTCCATTAAATAAGGCATTTCAATTGTTACTGTTCGATCAACCATGAATTCTTCAAAATTTGAATTAGAAGTTATAATAAATTTTTCAATCACTTCCGATAAAATTATTGTACGTGCTAAGGATAATTTTTTTAAATGAAAATTTGAATGATCAATAATTGGTTTCCAAAATTTTTCAATATTAATTCCATGACAATCAAAGAATTCCAAAGATTCCAAATTATTACAAACTACCAATCCTTTAGAATTAACTTCGACAAAATCAATATTAACAAATTTTAAAGATCTAAGAGTTGATGCTTGTGAATGTAAAGCTGCCGCCAATCTCCAAGTTCCTCCTGTAATATAATTAAAAGTAATATGTTTTAAACCATTTTGTGATCTGATTAAAGCCGCCAAATTTGAATCATGAGATTTTCGATAATGAGAAATTTCAAGTTCAATAATATTATTGCACGTCCGGGATAATTGATTAAAAGCTGAATCATCAATATGAAATCCACCACAAGAAAGATATTTAACCATAGAAAGAGCATCTTTAGGAAATCTTCTAATTGGCGGTAAATCACGATATATATCATTATTGAACCATCGAAGTGATCTAATATGTTTCCCTTGTATCATGATAACTTTTATCAAATAAATTGTAATCACATTAGTTAAATTAGAATTAACATAATTATTCCTTTGTTTCATGAGAATATTTCGTAACCATAAATTCGTCGATTCAAAGAAACACCAATAATTTAATTCCCTTATAAATGTTAAATAATTAAATAAAGGTTGTTGTCGATATTTTTTTGAAAAGATATCAAAATTCAATGTACATCTTTTAAGTAAATCTGTTTTTTCTTCATCTCTCAGACAATCGATTAAAATTTGAATTAATTTATTTGATGGAATTTCTTTTAATAAAGTAAATGGTTGACTCCATAAAATTTTCACAACCCATTTACAAAAAATTCTATTGACAAATAAACAAGAATATAAAGTGTCTTTGTCATTGATCAAATATTTAAAAATCTCTTCAAAACATTCATTTGTCAGAATAACATTTTTTGACGATTTTGCATAACTCATTTTTTTTTTCTCGAAAAAAAGAGAGAATAAATTGTGGCTGAACAGATTGATTGACATGTCATTGTTTATTTATAAGGATAAATTTTCGATGATCATTTAGTGACATCATACTAGAAATAAAAAGAACATCACACTAAAGAATTTGAATATTATTTTGTCTTTTCTATTTAAAAGAATTAGATAAGATATTTAAATTATTTACGTATCGTATTATAGTACAACAAATATCAATGTAATGGAAGTAATGGATAACGAAAGATTCAATCAAATGAAAAAAGGTTTGTACAACAAATAACAACAATAATAAATAATATAATATTTCGTTATTTATTAAAAATATCATGATAATTTAGATGAACTAGGTAACAATTTTATACCTGCATGGATTAGTGAAATTGGTGAAAATCAAATGGATGATGACGATGATATTAGTATTGATATTAGTATGCAAGATATTAATGAAAACTATAATAATAACGTAAAGGATAATATCACGGATGATAATAATAATAAAGATATTAATATGGAAGAAATGGAAATTATAGATCACAGATTTGGATTTGTAATTTATTTTTTTTTCTTTATTAATATCATTATTAATTGATAACGATTACATTTATTTCATTTATTTTCATTTTATTTTCGTTTTCTTTTTTTTTTTCATTCTATTTTCATTTTATTTCGTTTTATTTAGTTTTTCTTTTCATTTTATTTCTAGAAAACATTAGAATTTTTTGTTAAATTCAAAGGACGTACTGTAAGAACTAAAGATTGGATTCCTGAAAGTTATATGTAATTTTATGTAATTTTGATTAGTTATTATTTTTTTAAAAAAAATTTTTGGTGAAATACATATCTCGTGTTAATATTCATTAATTTTCGTTAATAATTATAATTACATAGTAATAAGAATTTCATCAGAAAGTATTGGAGAAATATTAAAGATTTAAAAAAATCGAATGAAACTTCAAATAAAAAGAATTCGAAATGTGCACAAAAATCAATAGGCAAAAATTTAAAATTTAATAATTTTGATAAATTAAAAAATTTAAATAAATCAAATAATCACTTCATAATAGAGAATTTCAATATAAAAAATAATAATATTCAGGTAAATAAATGAATTCAAAATATATACAAATATATAAAATATTTATATAAACGATGTGATGAAAATATATTTTTTTTTTATTTTAATAATAGAAATATTTAAATAAAAAAATTTGGGATAAATATATTAAAGAAATTGTATCAGTTGAATACGATGAATTTAATAGATTAATTGTTTATGTTTTATGGTAAGTAAAAAAAATCATTTTTTATTAAAATTTTATTGAATTTTTTATAAATTCTTATTTTTTTTTCTTAATAGGAAATCTGGTGATAGAACGATTCATTTAAATGAAAGATTACGCAAAAAATCACCGCAAAAAGTAATTTATATCTTTATTATTTGAATTCTGATATTTTTTCCCCCATTTTATATTATTTATATATTCATATTTTCATTATTATTATTATAAATCAGTTACTCGAATTCTATCAAAATCATTTGAAACTAATATCTAAATAAAATTGTCAACAAAGAATTAAAAAAAAAAATTATTTAAAGCAAACTAAATGTAAAACGAATTTTTGTTATTTTAATATACTATAAATAACTGTTTGTGTGTATGTATGTAATATAATAATATAACGATTTTTCGAAAGATTTTTACTATTTAATATTTATGCTATAATCTGTTCCATTTATATTTTCAATCGAAGAATTAATGAGAAAAATCAGAAATATTATTTATTAATATTTATTTTTATATATAGATTTGTAATAAAGAGAATTAGAATTATTTTTATTATTTATATGCAATAAATAAACAATTATAAAAATTTAATGCTAAATATGTAAAAATTATAATAAAACCAAAAATAAATACATAAATATTATGTTTCAAAAATCTCCAGAATAAAAATTTATGTATTAATAAGTTCAATTATATTGAAAGAGAGTCAATTCGCACAAATAGAAAGAGAAGCTTAAATTAGAATTTGCCGATCTTATAAAAGAGATAATACATAACATATTAGAATAAAATCGAGTAAGTATATTCAATTCCAAATTAGATGTACATCATGTACATCATTTTTAAATCATAATAGGCAAGTGTTTTCATGGAATTCATAACTGATAAGTCCGTTCGTAAAGATAACATCCTTGTGTATCACAATTGTTCAAATTTAAATTTTATTTTCCCAGGTAAAATTCTTGGCATTGTTCAAATTTGTATTAGATAATATCTTGTACCACTTTGGCATTCTTAGAATTATCTTTTATTATCCTTTTAATAGAAGTTTCTATTCATTTTTGTTATTTTGATCCCCTCGTAGCACAAAGTACAAAAATAACATCATAAATCAAGCAATACTAATTCTTTTTAAAAATAAAAATTTCTTGTAAAATATCCTTGATTTAAAATTCATTTTTGACACTATTTTAACTATTTTATTAAATAATTTTGCATTTTTAGAACATAATATTTTTTTTATTATTTTTCAGTATATTTCTTTTATATTTTTTTTTTTGTACAAACAATAAATTTATTAACGAAACGAAAAAAAATCACAAAAAAAATAGAATAAACATTATGTCAATTAGTTTTATGATAAAAAAGAAACATTTTATTTTACTTTTAATCATATTGTTGATTTCGTCAAAATCAACGGCATCAACTGAATATATTACCAATTCAGAAACACTTACATCATATATTACTCCCCCAGAACCAGGTAATCGATCGATCAACAGATTCAGATAGATAAATAAAAAATCATTAGATGAATGCTTTATGACAAATTTACAAATTCTCAAACTGATCCTAAAAGTTATTCCATTTTTACTCAATTAGCTTTTACTCAATCAGTTTCTATTCCATCAGAAACAACCACAACTCTTACCTTTACTTGTAATTCATGTAAAATTGATTCTTCAGTGTAAGTTATTCTAAAATCTTATATTTCAAATATTTTAAATACATATGTTATCTTAACCACGTATTTTGAGAGAGTGTATTTTTTTAATTATTTCTTATTTTATTTTATTTTATTTTATTTTATTTTATTTTATTTTATTTTATTTTATTTTTTTTTTTTATGCAAAAAATATAGGAGAACTACTTTCGAAGGTGAAATTACTACAGAAACAACAACTGAACCACGTTCATTATCGGAAAGTATTTACACTACTTTCAGTCCTACTATTACTACTAGTTCTAATGTTGGTTATACTTCACAAACGGCATACATAACCACTTTCTATAGAACAACCACACAATTCTATCCAGGTTATACTACAACTTTTATAACAACTATAAGTGGGCGAGCAATTCAAACTGAATATTATATTCCTCCAAGTACCGTGATTATCCTCAAAGAAGTTACGGCATCGGTTGATTTAGCAATTATTTCTTATAAAACCAAAACTTCTAATGCTGGCGATTCAATTAATTTAAATAGATTTAGATGGAATAATAAATTTAATTGTATGATTATTTGTTTGTGGGCTTTTTGTTTACGTGATTTTTTGGTTTGATTTGTAATTAAATAAGAAACATTTCATATTGATCCAACTCAAAATTAAATATTTCATGTTATATAAAAATTTGTTAATAAATTCCAATTTCTTAATCCCTTTCATGTTTTTTTTTTCAACTCAATAATTTACGAAATGAAAGAAAAATGTCTTTAAAATTTTTTTTTTTTGACAAATCAAATTATCTCAAAACTTTATTGAATTTCTTAATGACAAAGGTGATAATTACAATGTAAAAATATGGAAAAATTCTTTTGCTATACACACATTCTAATACATTGAAATAATTAATATTATATTTTTACTTATATGAGTAAATCTATTTATCACTAGCAGTGTTGGAAATGACAAATGACTTTGAAATGACCTTATCACATGATGATTTTACTATACTAAATGACCTTGAAATTTGAAATTTACCAACACTGATGAAAGTGTGTCCTTATAAGTGGGGAGAATCCACTGAACTATGTACTTGATTTTGTCATGATTAAAAGAGAGTGGAAATTATTGTATATTTATAGTCAAGAATTAATTATAATTCACCAAAATAATTAACAAAAATAAGAAACAATTAAATAATTCTAAAATTCTCAATATTTCCATTAAAAGATGCGTATAAAATAAATTCATCAAGTGATTTTTATCAACAGTTTCACGTAAAGAGAGTGGAAATTATTGTAGTCAACATACGTACAAAATAAGAAACAACTAAATAATTCTAAAAATAAGCAATTCTAAAAATTTCAATATTTCCATTAAAAGGAGCGCATAAAATAAATTCATCAAGTGATTTTTCTTTACGTTATCCTTATCTCTACTAAGAATTTTTTTAAAAAAAAAATTATCAATGACGATGAAAGTAATATTTTATTAAATATTTTTGATTTATTTATAAAGCTATATAAAATATCTCAATTACAAAGTTAATTGAATTAAAGGAACAACATATAGTAATAATGAAATTTTAAAATATTTAATCACGATTTTTTATTATTTTATTTTATTTAATTACCATAATATTCAAATATTGTGAAATTGTTTTTTAAAATAACGAAATTTGATATTTCACCAAACCATTTGATAGGTTGGATTTATTATTTATTATTATTTATTTATTTGAATGTAAACCTTATTTTGTCGTCGTCGTCGTCGTTATCTCTTTTATTTTTTAATTTGAAGAAAAATAATTTTCTCTAACTATCTAGTAAGTATCTACACTCATTCAAGTTTCAACATTCTCCATGCCATGCCATCATTAGTTATGTTGAAAATTCTTTCAGGATGACAAAATCTTTTATTGGTTAAAATTTTACTAATAAAATAAGTGTAAAATTTATATTTCATTAATTAATATAAATTAATTTTATTAATTCTATAATAAATTAAAAATCTAACACTACATTGTGATCTTTTCTACTATATGTCTGTATTAATTTCTTGTATATACAATGAAGAAGGTTTTGGGAAGTTTTGATAACATGTATAAACTAGAAGCCTCAAAATTAATATATAAATACTTTTAAACATATACAGTATTAATGGATTGTTTTTTAAAAAAGGTAATTCAAAGAAACATGGAATTTTTACAAATTAAGATTGACAGCTTTAAAAAAAAAAAAAATTAATTATCCTAATTGAGCCATCTTTAATAATAAACTATCTTAAGACAAAAATGGAAACTTCAAATAGATTTCAACAAGATTCATGAAGAAAAAACGGAAAAATAGCAACTTTCAAATTAATACACACAAATAAAATAACAAACAAAGAGGACCACATTAGAATAAATGCACCCAAATAAAATAACAAATGATTTGACAAACAAAGAGGACCACATTAAAAGAAGCATCGAAATGAGACTCGTAAATGAAGAATTACCAGTAATGGCCAAAAGATTTCAGCATCATCACACATATAAGATAATCCCAAATGCATTCTATGTGGATAATTCGAAGAAAATGATGAGGCAATAAATTACATATTAACGTCACGCATTTATTCAAGGCCTGTAACACCATCATTGTTCTGGTTGCCCTTTTTCGGGTCAAAACAAAAAAAAAACATAAACACAGATTTCGCCCTGCAATTGAATTTCTAACGATCATTGAAATGGACTATTTCGATATAGTCATTGAAAATAAATAGGAAAAAAATTGTATATCCGAAAATTTTATAAATTTTACGTAACATTTAAATTTCATAATATTATACGTTGATTGAAAATCTCTGAAATAAAATTTTGATAATTTATATAATTTATATACTAATAAATTCAATATAAAGGAGCTTGAATATTAAAAAAAAAAATTATAGTTTTAGAAGAGATTCAACTTTCACTAATAGCAAAGGAAGCTAAAATTTGGATCAATCGTATAAAAGAATTATAATATTAAATTTAATTCATTTCTTTTAAACCATCTTTTTTTTTTTTTTTTTGTTTTGAACACATTTGTACAAAGTATGTACAATTGTGTAAAGTATACTTGTGCTTAACTTTAATTTCAAATTATTCATACAGTTGATTGGACTCCTACTATCCTCGAGTATTCGCATGAAGTTATGGGCAAAACATTTGCCTAAAAAAAGATAATTGTAGCAACATTTTGGTATTGTTCAAATTTTATATTTATTTTTAGAAACATTGTTTAGATTTGATTTAAGTTACCATCTTGTAACATGTTGATATTGTCTAAATTTATATTTTGTTTCTCAGAAATATCCTTTCTAGATTTAATAGAAGAAACAAAGAAGAAATCGACTAAGCCTTTTTTGATTATTTGTTATTTTGATTATCTCATAGTTCAGGTAAAAATGTTGATATTTCAACTATTTTAAGAAGAATTAGTCATTTATATAATAATTGTATTCGGAATATGTTTTGCCATTTTTTTAATCGTTGAATTAATATAAAAAGTCTATTCAATTGAAAATAGCCGTATAAAAGCATAACATCGAGTAATAAATATTTTTGTTATTTTTTTTTTTTAAAAAAAAATTTTTTTCTTGCAGTAAAATAACTTTGATTTAAAATTCATTTGTACAAAAAATAAGCAACCAATAAATTTTATTGACAAAACGAAAAATTACAAAAAACATGTCAATTAGTTTTACGATGATGAAAAAAAAGCATTTTACTTTGCTTTTAATCCTAGTGCTGGTTTTATTTATTTCAATTAGATGTGTTTCAGCTCAAGAAACTACTACTGAAACCGCTATACCAGTACCTACTACACAACAGGAAACACAAGCACCTACACAGGAAACATCTTCACAAGAAGCACCTACACAGGAAACATCTTCACAAGAAGCACCTACACAGGCATCATCTTCACAGGAAGAACCTACACAGGCAACATCTTCACAGGAAGCACCTACACAGGCAACATCTTCACAGGAAGCACCTACACAGGCAACATCTTCACAGGAAGCACCTACACAGGAAACATCTTCACAGGAAGCACCTACACAGGAAGATACACCGACACCGAACCCTACTACACCTTCAGAAACATCTACTACACAGGAAGAAGCACCTTCAGAAACTACTACAGAGGAAGCACCCACAGAAACATCTACTACACAGGAAGAAGCACCTTCAGAAACTACTACAGAGGAAGCACCCACAGAAACATCTACTATTACGGCTACTTCAAGTAATACTTCATCTACTACTTCGTCTACTACATTTATTACTTTATCTACTACTTCAGTTACTATTTCGTCTACTACTGCAAGAATTACTTCAAATAATACTTCATCTACTACTTCAGATGATACTTCATCAACTACTTCAGATGATACAGATACTACTTCATCTACTACTTCTACTTCTGATGATACTGATACTACTTCATCTACTACTTCAGATGATACTGATACTACTTCATCTACTACTTCAGATGATACTACTTCAGATACTGCTTCAGATGATACTACTTCAGATACTGCTTCTACCAGAAAAATGACTTCCTCAAAAATAATTACTTCCTCAAAACCATCAACATCTTTTACTACTTTCTCAGGTAATCAATTAACAGTATTCTACTACGCTTATGATAAATTTACAAATTCTCAAACCGATTCTAACAGTTATTCTATTTTTATTCAATCAGCAACTACTACTTATTCTCTTCCATCAGAATCAACCACCGTTCTTACCGTTTCTTGTCATTCATGTAACGTTGATTCTTCAGTGTAAGTTATTCTAAAATTCTAGTTTTTCTTGTCATGTTATATTTCAAAAATTTTAAGTACATGTGTTATCTTAACTTTGTGTATTATTAATATTCTTTCTTATTCTTTCTTACAAAAAATCATTAGGAGAACCTCTATAAAAGGTCCTTGTGTTACAGAAACTGAAGAAAATACAGAATCGGATATTATTTACACTACTTTCACTGTTCATACTGAAAGGCATACTCAACCTGATACTATTACTGATGGTCCTACTGGTCCTACTACTACGAGGCCTACTACTGGTCTTTCTTCAAAAACAGTATACACAAAAACCACTTTCTATACAACAATCACAAAATACTACCCAGGTTATACTACAACTTATACAGTAACTACAAATGGAGTAGCATCTCCAACTGAAGTTTATGTTCCTCCAAGTACTCTGGTTATCGTTAAAAAAGTTACTGCAGTTGTTGAAGATCTTGTTGCAGAACCTACTTCTTCTTCTTTGACTTCTAATGCTGGCGATTCAATTAATTTAAATTTATGGAAAGATAAATTGAATCGTATAGTTGTTTGTTTGTGGGCGATCGGTGTGGCTTTTGTTTACGTGGTTTTGGCTTAATTATAAAGATATTATAGATATATTGTTAGACCTTTTTTCACCTTTAAGGGAATTTAAAAAATATCTTTAATTTACAGTTACGTGACTCTATAATTTTTATTTAAATGTATAAATCAAATGTAATATAATTTTTTTTTTATTAAATTGACAATGAGAAGCACTTCAAATATATATATATGTTTCCAACTTAATAATTTATTAAAAGAAAAATGTCTTTAAAATTTCTTATTTGACAAAGATGATGATTACAATATAATCATTTATTACAATGTATTGAAATATTGATCGTCTCATTTTCGTAATTAAAACTAATTCAAGTGTATCTGCTCAAATTTGTGATATTATTCTAAAGTAATTTATTATCTACAATATAAAAAAAATTTTAAAGAAATTTTTACTTATATTGAAAATTTGAATTTATCTATAATATTATTATTTTTATTGAAACTAGAGCTTAAAATGAATTTTAACTTTCGGAATTAACCAAATTCTTCTCATTGAAACCAAGCGCTCGGTTGAAAAAAACCATTTTTCTTTTTATCTACTATATTAACTTCGTCAAATAAAATTTTGGTAATGATATTATAGTCAAGTATTTTTAGGTTTCAATAATTTTTTATATAGAATAACCGAAAACAAAAATGTTGATTCAAAGTTGGACAGAATTACCACATACGTACAATGCTACAGAAATTTCTAGTTGGATCCGTAAATAAACAAATATTCTGAATTAATTTTTTGTGAAACTATAAACAGTTGCTGTGACGAAATATTAAAGGAACTAATGTTATAATCCTTTAGCGTGAATATACCTACGTATAATGATAAACGAATGGAATTTTATCTATAAACAAATTTGTTTTCTTTGTGAAAGTAATCATTAATAAAGTATTTCCTAATTTTAAGCATCAGGGACAAAACTTTACGCAAATTACGTAATTGCGTAAATTACGTATAATAAAGTACTGCGTAATTTACTTGGTGGTTATAAAAAGATTGTGATTATATAGCAATTTTTTACATTACGAATTGGTTCTCACAAAATGTGTGATTATATACAGATTGTGATTATAAAAAGTGTGATTATAGAGAGACCCGATTGTATACAGAGGAGTTTTTTGTTTTTTACAAGAGTTTTATATTCCCGCATAACCGCCTTATTTAGGTTATAATCCCAAGCCTGATAGCGAACCGTTTTTAAGTTCTCTTTGGTAAATAATGGACTGATTTCAGTAGTTTTTTCTTTTTGTATGTTGCTCGGAACTTCCCACTAGTAAAAAGAACTTACCAAGAGTTTTTTTTACTTGCTCCAAGTCTTTCACATGTCAAAATCACTTGCCTTTTTCTACCAATTTTTTATTGGAACTGTCAAAGTCTATAACACACTTGCCTTTGGACTGGATACTGCCGATTATTCTCTTAGTGCCAAACTTGTTAACATGTAATTATGTGCGTAATTTACGTAATGCGTATTATAGAATCAAGTGTACGTATTTTTCACTTCGATTGATGTCAAATAAAAATTTCTGATATTCTTTTATTAAAATTATTAAAAAATAAATGTACAATAAAATTTTAATACTAAAAAAAAAATAAAAATAATATTTAAATACTTGGTGATTACCATTTTGTTCAGAGACTAATTGTTGTTTTATCAGTCAAACTATGCTCATTTCGAATAATCTGTCAAAAGACATATTGTATTGTTACAACTACTTTATATTATTTTGTTTGGTAACAGTTGAAGTACCAATATTAGAAGTAATAGTAGAATTTTCTGAAACAGTTGTCATATATTCTTCTACTTCTTCCTTCCATATTTGCATTGTATTAGGATTTTGAATTTTCTTGAGACATTTGGACAAACCAAGTCCATTCATATTTCTTGTATCTATTATTTCATCTAACTTCTAAAGTACACTTTGAACATAACCTTAAGGTGGTGAAGCCCGGTTAAGATTTTTTTTTCTTAAAATTGTTCAATATTTTTGGGTATAGAATTATGTTTACTTCCATCTCATAATCATTATGAAGATATTCTTTCCTGTAAAGTAAAAAAAAAAATAAATATGTTATTTACAAATAAAAATACAAAGGATTTATAATTTATACTTACATTACTATGCGCAATAAATCTTTTCTCGTGCTTAGAAGCTACTCCTTTAAGTCTTTGAACTGCGGCTGGAGAAACTATTGGTGAAGTAAAATTCATATGTTCTTTAGTATTTGTTTGGAAAAATTTCAATCGGCTTTTGCAAGTGGAGAAAATAACAATTTTAATAGAATAACAATAAGCAATAGCAACGAGTAGCAATATTCCCTTTAGAGTAATAATATTTTCATCAGGCCTATAAAGATTAAATCAATGAGAGATTTCATCTGAACAATTTCTTATGCCAAGGTCAATTCACTTTTTGAGGTAATTTCAGATATAACTAAACCTTGAAAATAAAGCTATGCTTTTGCTTGATTAATAAACTTCTGCCAAAATGGCAAAAAGTCTTTAAGATTTTCTATACTGAAAGGTTTATCGGCAGCAGCATTAAATGCTTCTTGTAGCCTTGTCATGAATTCACTTTGTGGAAATACCAATAAATCCAATGAACAATTGTGGCATCCATTTATATTCCGATTATATTTATTATCTTTATAGCAAGCATATAATCATTTTCAAAATACGGTGTCATTCAGTTGCGTCAAATTGTTGAAAAATTATCTAAATTTCTTCTTTTTTTTTTTTTATGACTAACATATGACTAACGGGCCTCCTCTATCTAAATTTCTTTAAGATGACAAAAATCTTTTATTGGTTATAATTATTTTTTAAAGTCTATTGCTTAATACAAATTAAAGATTAATAATAATATTTCATTAATTAATTTTATAATTAATTAATCAATTCTTGTTTAAAATTCAAGCTGCTGCTTCTACCCATAATAAACTTATATTGTTTCATTACATTACAACACTACATTGGAGCCGAAACTTGTACACAAAATTTGATATAGAATCTATATTATTATCCCAAAGTAATTTTCATTAATATTAGTCTCAAGAAGAATAACCAGAAAGGGAACATGCTTTATTAGTAGAAATAACATGATCATATAAAAAACCTCTAAAATACACCGATCGACGTCAAAGGTGTTTTTAAAATATTTATTCCAAACAAACAAATGACGCAATGTTTCATCTATAAAGATATTTTCATGATAAATTCTTATAAAAACTAAATTATATAAATGTCTTATTGTTTCCCATTTTTTTAACACTTTTATTTTATAAACTTTATGTAATTATTGAAATTGAATAAGAAAAAAATCTTTTACTGTATATTCTAATTTATTGAAATATCAATATTAAAACATTATCAAACCAAATGTTTCTGTTCAAATGCATTTTGATCTTATCTGAATACATTTAAAATCTAAAATACTATATATTTTTTGTATAAAAAAAAAACAATAACTAGATACCTTATTGGAATTTAAATATCCCTTTAAATTAGGCCAAAATCACGTAAACAAAAGAAATACCAATTGCCCACAAACAAATTATTATACGATTTAATTTATCTTTCCATATATTTAAATTAATTGAATCACCAGCATTAGAAGAAAGAGTAGTCATAGAAGTAGGATCTACAACCAGGTCTGCATAAGCTGCAGTAACTTTTTGAACGACAATCACGGTACTTGGAGGAATATAAACTTCATGCGGAGTTGCTATTCCATTTGTAGTTTCCCAATAAGTTGTAGTATAACCTGGGTAATATTTCGTGGTTGTTGTATAAAAAGTGGTGGTTGAGTACACTGTTCTTGAAGAAGGACCAGTAGTAATAGTACCAGTTCTAGTAGTAGTACGACTAGAAGGACTGAAAGTAGTGATAACACTTCCCGATTCTGATTCTGATTCAATTGTTGTAGCAATTGGACCTTTGTAAGTGGTTTCCCTATGATTAATTGTATAAAAAAAATAAGAAATAATTTAATAAATAAATATACTCTCGAAACTCAAAAAAAAAAAGTCAAGATATTTGAAATATGACAAGACTAGAAAAAATTAAAATTTTAGAATAACTTACACTGTAGAATCAACTGAACAATCACTACAAGAAATGCTAATAATGGTGGTTGTTTCTGATGGTATAGATATAGATTCTAGTTGAGTAGAAATGGAGCAACTGTTAGAATTGATTTGAGAATTTATTATAAACATTATTTTGTCAAGTATTTTAGTATCTGAAAAAATACTATATTCTTCTTCAAATGGTAGTTTCATTGAATCTATAGTAGAATCTGTTAATTGATTACCTGGGGTTTCTGTTTCTGTTGATGTGTCTGAGAAAGGTTTTTCTATTTGTGTTTCTGTTGATGTTTTTGTTGAAGTATCGGGACTGGGAGTTGGAGTTGGAGTATTTTCTGAAGTATCAGGACTAGGAGTTGGAGTTGAAGTATTTTCTGAAGTATCAGGAATAGAAGTTGGGGTTTGAGTATTTTCTGAAGTATCAGGACTAGGAGTTGGGGTTTGAGTATTTTCTGAAGTATCAGGACTAG